CATTGATTCACGATTACGGCTGGTATGCGATAGAAAGAGCGTTGATCTCCACCTCCACGGGCCGTGCAACCAACAATTACAAACGTTTTCACCATTTTTTACTGTCAATACTGCCTAAGGCTGCCACCCAATATGGCGGACGCGCTGAGTAGTCACGTGAGCGTGACGTCACCTGAAAACCCCCTATTGCAAGTGCGGTATTTCCCCCACAGACCACCAGGGCGGCCAAGAATACCATTGTTCAACCTGAAATGACTCATTTAATCATCCAAAACGTTATGGAACACATTAATTAACTGAAAAATGTTGCATAGTGTGCCTTTAAGCGTTCAGTTTAAATGTATCCTTAGAAATTGAGTACCTCCATAGTAAATGTTGGTGCAGTTACATAAAGATATAATGCATGTGTGGGGGGGTAATTTCCTGTTGCATGGGCTCCTCTAGTAAAAATAGTTTTTGAATGTTTACCCCTGAGCAGGAAACCACAGAGAATGGAGCAGTGAAAGAAGAGCCAACAGTGAAGGCTGTTCCCAGTGAGGCTGGAACAGCAGCTGTTGTGAGCAATGATACAAGCATCCCTCAGGACAAACGAGATAAAGCTCCTGAGTTGCTTAGCAACGAAATCAACGTTGATAAAGGTAAAAGGAAAAAAAAAATGATGAGGTTATTTTATTTAAAAATACATCATGCACATACTGTGTAATGTCACATTTACTGTTTAGCCATTTGAAGATGTTTGACTGAGCATCTTATTGGCCCTAGATTATTTCTAATGCTCATTTAATATTTTAAGTTAATACACTTATTTTAAAAGCTACTAAAATAAGGTTTTTGAAGTTATTGCTTTAGCTAATTACGAAATGATTTCATTTAGTCTCCTCAGAGCAGCCTCCAACTGATGACCTTCCTAAGGTCGAGTCCCAGACTGTTTTATCCACCGATTCAAAGACTCAGACCAAGCAGCAGAAAAAAGAGGCCAAAACGGAAGAAACTGAAGCTACAACTGGTAAAAGGTTGACAGACAATCTTGCAGCTGATAAAGACATGGAGGTGATGGACGCTCACGAGGAAGGTGCCAAGGCTAATGGTGAAGATCTCAGAGGAATAAGCCATTTTTATGCCCGTTTGTGACATTATTCTAAATAGCTATTCTTTTAGAAGCAGATCCTGGAATGGAGGATATGCTGATTGGTCAAGGGAAAGCAGATGAGGCAGCTATTGGTGAGAACCAGGAGGAACAGGATGAGTATGACGACGATGACGAGCAAGTAGTTGGTGGGGCTGATCTGGAGAAAGAACGGAGAAGTAATTTCTATTAATATTTTCATATTAAAACATTTAGTCTGGTTGCAGAACAGATCTTCTTTAAGTTGCTGTTTTAATGTTTTTAACAGATAGAAACATGGAGGATGAAATGGCGGACTACAATGGAGACGATGACAACGAAGGGGAGTTTGAAGCCGACAAACAAGCTGCACTTGCTCAGTTTTAAGGTACATTCTGAAATGCATTCTAATGCTTCTCCTAGGACAAATCAGATTTTCTATTGAATTGCATTATAAATGAAAAGTGAAGGGTTAAACTTGGCGTAATCTTGTCTGAGTAGCACCGGATTTTCATCAGTAGTTTTCAGTTAATTTGAAAGAATGAATTGAAGATATCAAAAACCTAAATCCAAATTCCTGAAAACTAGCTTTTAGTATATTTAAGACCCATGAAAGTGATTATAACAGAGGTGTGTCGTAATTCAAAAAGCCATTAGCACCTGGTACATTCAGTTTAACTGAATCAGGGTGGCAGGGAGGCGACCAGTTGTGGTTCAGCTAAGGCGTTAATAAAAGTCTTGGGTGCTTCAACTGAGGCTTTTGGTTAGTCTACAGTGTTTGGTCCGGTGTCTCTCATCAGTCAAGCATGTTGTTACTGGTCATTGAAGTAGATATTGATAGTTTTTAGTGTGGGCATTTGCCAACTCCTTCCAGAAAATAAAACCAGCATCTCCTTAAAGCATTTCTGAAACAGGAAGCATAAAGTGGTCTAAAATGTTGTAGATGACTGATCTGACTTTAGACTTTAGACACAGATAAAACTGTGTGAACCAACAGCAGCAGACAGCATGACCTTTAGGGTATCAGCTGTGAAAACCCCAGACTAGACCTGAAACAAGTGGGTTAGTCTGTCTCTCCACTCTGAAAACAGAATAAAAGTTTCCCCTGGAAAGATTACTTTTAGACAGGATTTTACATGGGATAATTAAACTTAAAGGGACACAAGTTTTTAAATCCTTTCTTTTTTCATTGCAATCATTCAGTCTATATCAAGGGGAACTGTATTGATTTGTTTTGGTATTCCGTCTCCTTAAATGCGATTAGAGCCCATCACACCTTACCCCCCTTTAGGTCACAGAGCTCCGCTGCTTTGAAGGCTGATAGTAGAGATAAGATTGTCTAGTTGTGCAGATAATGTGGAACGGTGTAATGAGTTGAAGGGAATAATACACAAAGAAACCAAACATTCTGAATTATCAACTTAAAGTTTCAGCAACTCAGAGCCTGGGGGAAAGGCTTTTTGCAAAAAATGAAAATGGTGGATTTGATAGACTGGAGAACCAGAGGTCCGTGACCTTGTTTAGCAGCTCTGCAGAAAATACCGCAGTGTTTTGATTAAAAAAAAGAATAGATAAGGAAGGAAGATAAACAGATTGAAGAATATGACCCAAAGAGGATATAAATATATTTATGCAGCACATCGAGGAAATCACACTTTTCTGCACACCTAGAGACACCAACCATACAAAAAGTATTTCAGCGCCAAAACCTGTTCAATTTAATTGTTGTTGTTTTTTTTATTTGAGATGCACCAGTTACATTATATCACTTTTGCTTTGTTTGACTAACAATGTTAAATCATTATTTTGCAGACAAATATCTCCCGTACAGTGAACAGAAGGTGTCCACCACAGCCCAACACCTTCACAGAGCAATGAAACAAACTCAGCGAAAACCAAACCAAGCTGCAGAGTTTTTATGGTTTTCTTAAAGCCGACCAGTTTACCTTTTGTTTTCTCCTTTTGACCAATTGTCATGTGTCTTCTTCTTCTTTTTTCTTTTTAAAACATCTCGTCAGTCGTCCTAGCGGATGTTAAACATGACTGAAGTCGTCTCAAGACTTGACGCCATTTGAGCCACATTGAGGTGAACTAAAATTAGAAGATTTTGCTTACATGCTTAAATATATTATGGTCACTGGATAGTAGGTGTTAATTATTAAAAGATGAGCTTTAGAATCCACATGGTTCCTGTGATACACATCACCCAGCAGAGGGCGCCGTATTACAGCTCTAAATATAGCATCCTTAACAAAGTTTCAAAGTTCTCTTGGATGTTTTCTCCAGAAACACCTTTTTTTTTTTTTTTTATTTACTTTAAGTCAGTATTCCCTAATCCCTAAATCTGACCTTCCTGTAAGAGAAGGAAATTAAGGTTCCCCATTTGTAGTTTTCTGTTTCTGTTTTTTTTATACAAAAGGGGTGTATGACTTTGGTTTATTTAACGGTTATTTCTTAAAAACAAGTAAATATATCTAGAAAAGCGGCTCCTATACAGGAATATTCCAATGTTTTGCTGCAAACATTTTTATTTCAAAATATTTATATTGAGTAAGAAACTCCATATGAATGTAGAAATGTTCAACCATTTCATTTGGAACAAGCTTTTCATTCTGAGCTGCGTTTAATTCTGCAAAACACGTGTTTTATTTTTCATTTTGCACACACGCCATTTTGCGGCTTTGTAAGTCATCAGTAAGGTGGGAAAACTTGAAAATAGGAGACGCTGGGAATGCTCATCTCGCTGCTCTAAACTAGTAGTTTTGTGTCAACGTCTGAAGCTGCCGACAGCGTGGAAGTTAAACGAACACGGTCTGCTGCATCTGTGTTTACTGCCGGCAGGGACTTCTAAGCATTGCTGTAATATAACTGTAAAAATTTACACAAAGCAGGAGCATTGTGTTGTGCTTTGTGGCTCATTGAAGCCAGTAAAAGTGATCTGCAACTCTGTGGCGCGTTTGTGCAATTCAGAGTGTAGCAACACTGAGTGGAAACTGGGGAAGTGCAAATATTAATAACTAGTTCTAGGCACCAAGGTAACAGAATGTCATTTATGTATTGAAAGAAACTCTGTCATCTTGTAATTTCAGCAGGACAACATATGTTTTTTTTGTTAAGTGTCTCTGTGATATAGATGTGTTGAGGTAGATTTTAATTTGCGTAATGCTTTATCATCAGCTGTCTGTTCCAAGAGTGCAGTAATCGTGTAGGTAGTTCTGTTCCTGGAATGCTCTTTGCATATCTAGATGACTCCCTCTGGAAGCTGTAACTGTTTTTTTTTTTTTTATTGTATTTAAGTTAAGATGGTGTGCAGCTGGCGGAGCAAGTTAGATCATTATTCAGTGAATAAAAAAAAAAAATGTTAATAAAATGTACACTTTTTCTATTCAAACCTTTCTGCATCATTTTTAAACTGATAAAATGTTATGTTGAAGATCTGCTGATGGTTCATTTGGTTGCTTTTTTAATAATGCAAAGAAAGAAAAAGTCACTTTAACGGAAGATGACTAGAAAGTAGAGGTGGTGACTGATTCAAAGTGACATACCGTCTTAAGAACAATGATTAATAATGTTTGTCTTAACAATAAAGCCTTGATGGCAACATGCCAACAAAACTTCTTTGGCACCAGATCGTTTGCTTCTCGTCTTTTTCTGTATTTTTTTTTATGTTGTTTATGGAAAACATATTTACTTTCCTTTTAGTTGCTTTGACTTTTAATAATGTAACTTTATTATAGTTTTATGACTTAAATAATCATTTCCTTTATTAATAGTAGAGAACAAATTTTTTTTTACATTTATATTACACTTTGTGAATTTATTTTTATTGCATTTTTTTCTGTATTCCTGAGCAAAACAATTTTCTTGTTCAAAATTCGTATATTTTGTTTGATTCACATGGAAATAAAAAAAATGAAAAACAACCCCCATCCCGTTCTAATCTGTTTTTTTCTGAGTGCTGTGTGCCACATGTGTTGCAGGTAATCAGTCCAGCTTATTCCTGGACCACTGGAATATGTTCAACAGGTCCTTTGCTGTTATTCATTTTGGGTCAGAAATGGCATGTTTGGTGTTTCCATACTGATTTATCCGTTTATTGGATTAAGATACAGGGACTGATTGGGCCACTCCCATATTAATCAAACAGAGCATCTAAGCATTTGGAGATTTCAAACCGCTTCTCCCCACAGCTGTCGTACTCCTGAATGCCTCCTGACACCAACTATAAGTACTGTATAGGTTTTCATATTTATTTGTTTTATAGACTCTTAAAATCACTCTGCTTATATATACAATTTAAAGTCAGTGCATGCCTAGTCCCTGTGCACACATAAATATTTCCTGTATAGCATTTCTGGATAGATGCAAACTACATTTCATTGCTTGTACTTGTGACTGTGTAATGACAAAGTTGAAGTATATTCTAAAATAATATATAAAAATTAGAAATGAAAATAAACAAAAATATGTTTATTATGTATGAAGTTTAGGTGAATGCCGATTCCTCCAGTTCTTGGTCAGTATTGGTAGCGCCTTCGGACCATAAAGCACCTTAAAAGGACTTTGCTAGAACAAGATAATAAGAATATGTTGAAACAAATGATATGCAAAACTCACTAGTTCTTCGTTTGTGGTTTCAGATAAAAACATACCATAACATTCAAATAGAACATATATCTTGCAAATGCAAAACTACAACTGCAAAGACAATGAGCTACAGTAATTCCCAACTTTGTCTTTAGCAACAAATATAAAATTAGAGCTTTAATTCTGCATTTTGGACCATAAAATCAACAGCACACCTGTCAGAACATGTCAAAGTGCTTAGAATTGATCTATAGATACTGACACCAGTAAATTGGCTGTTAAAGCTCATTTTTTAGAGAACGTAACAGATATCATGATGGTGGTAGACACTAGAAGATGGGGATGATTTTGATAGAGAGGTGCATCTTCACTAATGACAGTCAGCAACCCAACAGATACCTGGGCCCAGGCCTCAGCACTGTCAGAATCCTGTATACAACCAATGAAAAACAACATTACATCAGGTAAATGTAGATAGGCATTGTCAATTGTCATCAAGTGATCTGTTCTACACCCAGCTTGAAAACATGAATAAAATTAAGCTCTGATTTCAGTCAATTTATTCAGATGTTATTGCTGTTACAGCTAGAGTATGTGAGGGAGAGAAATATTCTACCTCTTGTGCAGAACCCACAATTGCAGCATGGCAAGTGGGCGTGGCATTGTTGCACTGAGCACTGTAAGACTGTGACATGGAATGCAATAGGAGTTAGTTGAATGGCTGCTTTATTTTTTTAGGGGATTTTTCATTGTTTATTTTTTATATGGACTGAATCTTAAATATGCAAAAGCTGTATTTCTCTCATTTCACATTAGCTAGGCTATAGCATCACCCTGTTGGCATACATTGAAATGTCACAGCATGCTGCCCATCTTTGTGATATACAGCATGTGCTCCTCTAAGATGTGAGAACTTACAAAGAAGGTGTTATAGAAGTTCCACACCAAGTAGAACAGGGATGCCTTGGAGAACAAGGGTATGCACTGCTGTCACATCTGGCTTCTAGAAGTGGATAAAAAAAATAAAATTCAAGATTACGTAAGATTAAAAAGTTACCAAAACAAATACAAAATGCAAACCCCATTTTTTTTACAGGCTTATCCATTGTCTGATTGATGGTGCCAAACAGATAAATGCACTTTGAGTTCATTAAAAGATTTGAAAGTGCACAAGCAATTGTTATGAAGACAAGGTATTGGCTGTTGCCGAGTAAACCCCCCGTATTTTAAATAAGTGTTTTAACAACTGTTGTCTTTTGTCTGTAGAAAAATACACTGCTTTCAAGTCCAGTGCATCTGCAAGAATTTTTTTCACGGGAAAATTTTTGTGATATATAAATATATATATATACATTATTTTATTTTGACTTTTGCAAGATAAATCAGAACATGTGAGATGATAATTTCTACAGGAAAGAAGAATTAATATATATGTTTCATATATAAAGTTTAGGGAAGTGAATTCATCTAAACTATTTAGCACATTTCATTTAAATCTAAAAAATACAATAATGTATTTGACTGTAGGATTAATGTTAAAACAACTCAAAGACATGTGAAACATGACAAAGAAATACACTAAACTCATGTATGTTTTATATTTAATGTGTCCCTGTAACACCCTGCAAAAGACACAAATTTTAGTAACAATTGGGAGGGAGAGCAAGAGCAATCTTAGTGGTGATATGGCCCTGAACTTCCCTCCTTGATGGAGATGTGTTAAAAATGCATATTAATGTTAAAAGGTTTGGTTAAGTTAACATTGTGACAGCCACTTGCCAACTGTTATCATGTATTCTCATCATTTTGGCTTTGCAAAAGATTGAACAGAAACTAGTAGTAAAGTAACTTAGGTACTCCTAATTGTCCAACCAATGTGGGTGCAAAATGTGCTTACAAATTGCCTTTTGTGTGTTTTATCTACACACTAGATGCAGAAAAATGCATTCATGCATTAATTTGTAACTCGGAAATTTCTTCTTTGTTGAATCCCTGGATGATGTTGGAAAGCCGCCAAAAAATGTGCAAACATGTACTCTGCCTGTTAACTTGTTAATGTTTAACAAATGTTGGCTGATGTATTTCAGCAGACACAGAAATACAAATTCACACATACTATATAAATAATATATAGTGTATATATATATATATATATTAAATAATATTACCTAAGTTGCTTGAAAACTGACCTTATTGTTTCACAAGCGATCAAATCATTAAATTTCCATCAAATGTGTCTGTGTAGTCCAACAGGCACCATGCGGTCCTGAACAGGGTTATGACCGTTGGTGGCTTCTGCTGAGCATGCTCACACCCAGCCCTGATTGTTCTTAGGTTGAGTTCCAAAAAGTCACTCTTAGCAACTTCAAAAAAGTTACACTCACTCGAAATAAAAAGTAAATACCTTTTTTCACCATGCAATTAATTGTTACTTTGTAAAACCAATTAAGAAGCACACATTATACAGCTAACTTATTAATTCAAGCTTTGACAGCTATTGGAATTTACAGTGTATACACAAATACTGAAAGTAAAAACTTTTTCATTTTAAAACTAAATTAAAAAAATTAATAATAATAATTTACCAGATGGAAAACTCAGAAACTCAGAGGGAAAAGAGCTTCAGTTAATTTTATGCAGCACATTGCTGAAAAGATTCCTGAACAAAGGAGGCCAAAGAACAAAAAAGACTTTTAGTCATATCCAATTAATCTATTCAGTTGCAAAACAATGTGAACACATAACATAATACATTTCTTTAATTTGATTTTGGAAAGTTCATTTATTTCAGTAACTCAATTAACAGGGTAAAATTCATTATATAGATAAAATGTTGGTGCTCTCCTAAGCCCCCGCCGTTTATCTTTGTCCTTTTCAGGTCATTTGAATTCTCTGTCCATCCTAACAGAGATCTTTTACTGGTCCTTCAAAGTCTGATAAGGCCTATAAAAGAGGGAGCATCCGTCAGACAGACACCAGAGGAGACCCATCAGGTAGAACCACAATGAAGCCTTGCTTTGTCCTTATTTTGCTGGCTGCAGGTGAGTTTATTTCCCTTCTACAGCTACTTTAACAAATAACTTTGCTCAAATGTTGCTGTCTGCTCTTCCATAGATGATTGCAGACATGCTGCTTTGCGTGTTTAGGTTTTGGTCTGAAGCAGCTGAATGTTCCTATTTCAGGTGCAGCTTCAAGAATGATTGAGAAGAGGGTTATTGGGAGCAAGTCCTGTAAGGACAACCGGCGGTACCATGTTCAGATAAAGTCTGTTCAAGGTGGGAAGATCTGTGGAGGCGCTCTGCTCAACACCCGCTGGGTCATCACAGCATCTCACTGTGCAGAGCAGTAAGATATTACTCTTAATGGTTGCTTTTCCTCTACTATGCTTGTTGTTTTTTAATAACAGCATTTGTTGTGTTTTTATCAAGTTAAAGGAAATATATTTCATATCAGAAAATTTGACATGATCGTATTTTGTTCTGTCATTACACCTTTGCAGGGAGGTCAAAGTGACTTTAGGCTTAAACCATGATAAATTATCAAAAATGAAAACAGTATTCGATTCTGAAAAGGAGCAAATCATTTCCACTAAACAGCAGCACACCTTCGATAAACATGACATCATGCTCATACGGCTAAACAAGGACGTGCCAGCCAAATATCCCACCATAAGCCTTCCTTCAGGAGACTGCACGAAGCTAGAGCCAAAAACAGAAGTGGCAATTGGAGGCATGGGAGCAGATAAAATAGGTGGGGGTTTGAAAAAAAAAATTATAATTAAATTTGTCTATTTTTTTGTAAATAAACGAAAATGTCTGGGCATTTGAATCTCCAGGGAGTAAACCTATCAGTAATGTAAAATGTGCCACAACACTGATCTCTGAGTGTGGTGAGAACGACAAACCTGACAGTAAATACGCCAGCGATGAATCTACAGTCTGTGCCCACAAACCTGGAGTGGATTCCTGCTATGTAAGCAAACCATCCTGCTTCCTAACTATACTAATTATCTTTTTTTTTTTTATTCTGCTCACTCTGACCTTTGTTTTTTTAGGGGGATTCAGGCTCAGCTGTGGAGTACAAAGGTCATTTACAAGGAATTGTCGTTAGCGAGCCTAAAGATAAATGTGCCAATACCATCGTTATGCTGGATATCTGCAAATACATGGAGTGGATTGAGAAAACCATGAAGGAAAACTGAGTACACTCAGCGTTTCATATTTAATAATCACACGGAATTAATATATTAACTTACTTATTTATGCAATTGAGTCATACTCTATATGTTTATTACATGCATATTTTTACACTGCAAAAAGTTTTAAAAATTGAATAAGAAAATAACCACTTTCATTGAACAAATCTAGTGCAGTTTATATGTTGTTTTTTTTCCAATTGGAAAGATACATTTACTACTGTACCTGCTCAAATGAGGGTAAATACCCTTGAATTTATTTTTACATCAGAATTTGCAGTGTAACTAAAGGGCTATTCTGATATTTTAAAGATATAAGTTAAGACTTTTTTTTAACAATTATTTTTGTTAAACTCCCCCCTTTACAACCATTTATCACCATGAATAAAAAGATAGAAGTATGAAAACTTCTTGCCGTATCTGTCTTTAATTGTCTGTCTGGTTCCACCATGCACTCATTTCCCTATCTGCAAAACCACAATCAATTCTGAATTCCACTTTCACTTTAGAAACAAGCACCAAATGTTGTTATTGTCAGGTGTCAGTTTAAAATGGGAGCTCAGATAAACCAAACAGACAGAGTGGAGCATATGGCACAAGGGGAAACGAACACAGTGCCTGTAAAATATGCTAATGTTTGAATGATAGACTAACAGGAGTTAAATAAAAAAAAGTTTGTGTAGGGCAGAGATGAACATGTTCACTATTGTTTAAGTGACGGTTAAGGCATTTTAAACTTAGCACAAGCTCATTGGATTTACCAACCACATGCGGCTTATAGTGACTTAATTGGCCTGAGTTTATATATTAACTCCATTTAGTGGAGCATTTTGTTAAGAAATATCGTCTATTTTGAAGAATATCTGCTTCCACCTATTTTTGAAACATCATCTCTGATAATTTCAAATAAAATTATCCCAGGTTCCAATTCTTTTGTGACGTTAAATCCTCCAGGGGAGGAATTTAATTTTGATAATAATAGAAAGGAAATAGTAAAATCCTGTTATAGTCCCACAATGTGGGAAATAAAGAGTTCAATCTCCTGCTCGTGAACTACTACAAACAGTTAAAACTATAAGGTCAGAAATGCTCACACTCTATATCTGGTTCACAGCTGACTGCTTTACAACTGCTGTAACCCCACAGGCATCTCAGCTAAAATATAAATTTTGTCTTAATTTACCAAACATCTGTTCATCCAGCAGCAAAACCCCATAATAATCAATGTCAAATGAACAGCATACTCTTAAAGATTTGTTATGTCGGTTATTTCTTTCCCCTAAATTTTAAATCCTGTCAGAATAAAGTTTTACAGAAGAACAACATTCTCCCAGGGTCATTTGTAGGCTTTGTCCAGGTGTTACACAATTTTCTGCTGCCCAAAGTAGTGCTAAAGCAAAGTTAAGCAGATGTCTCCAAAATGTTTATTTGAGTGGTCATTCTGCATGGTTTAGGGCTCATTTATGGAAAAAAAATGTCCATGATTTTAGTTATTCTTGATTATTCTGAAAAACACTGAGTGGATTTCTAAAGTATCTTGTCAATCTGTGGAATGGATTCTTTATGGAAACAAGAAAAATGGGGATCTGTCCCGTCCACACACAAGTGTCCCATTAGTGGATGAGCTGTCCTTTTAGGGAATGACAAGGGATTTCAGAGATTTGCTAAAAGGGCTGTAATAATTTCATATAAATGGTATAATTTAAGCTTTTCAATTTTGCTGGCTTACAAATCTATAGGAGGCATTTTTATGTTTTTAAAATAGAAAATATTTAGGTCAGTTTATTTATTACATAATTTTACAGATTTGAAAAAAAAAATAAAAATTATAGGAACACAAATATTAACATGTTAAGCGTTCCTTTTAAAATTACATTTACAAATGAGCACTTACATATACTAATTTTATTATGTCATTACACATCTAAAAACCCTGTCTGGTTGTCCACAGCCAATCAACATCCAAGAAAACATCCTAAGGCAATTTAAATGTCAGTTTGAATTTTTCTCAACAAAATATGGAGAATAATTCAGCCAAAAACATGCAGCCAAAGGAAAAAACATTTTCCTTTCTGTCCTAAAACGTCTGTCTTTTTCTTGCTTTATCTGCACATATTTCTTTCTTTTCCAGATTGATAACATTTCATTGCAGATATTTGAAAGCCCGGCCCCAGTTGGACTACTCTTAGAGCACGTCCAGGTTGCTAAAAATGTAAAGATTTTAATGATGTGTTGACATGTGTAATGGTCACCCGATAGCAGCTGGGAGCTCAGTTATGTGCATACCCTCGTTGGATATCAGGGTGTGAAATACTGGAACAGCTATCAGAGATCTAAATGCTTACAGCAGCACACATCTGCCAGCAGAGGACTCTGCAGTACAGTACAGGCAACCTACAGGGCCTCACCTTTCTGCATTAAGGTTCGGTTGCTTCTTTGACTGGAGAATAAAAAAGGAAGGCTATGACAAAAGTGAATTTTTATGCTTACACTCACTGATTTTTCAATTTACTTCATCATAACTTCAGAAATGGTCAGGAAAAAGGAGGGATTTTCCAATTGCCTCGACCTCTTCAAAATCTGTTTTATATTTGTGAACAAGAATAACATAAAAAATGTGGAAAAACCCTAAATATAAGCATACATTTTTAACCGTTATCATAACAACCCAAGCACATTTTCTTTTCAAAATTACATTTATTCACCTAAAAATTGTAGCCCTTTGGTTTCTATTATTACTGTTTGTACTAGCTATGGACGATGATACAAGATAACTAAAATAAAATAAAAACAATAACAAACAACCAACTGATGGTGTTAGTTGCAAGTTGCAGTCTCCTGGTTCAAGTGGAAGCTCAAATCCTCAGGTTAAAAAATAGGCCTCAAATCTCCAAACTAGATTCCAAAACCTAATATTTTAGAATACTTTTAAAGGAAACAGACACTTGATAAATTTTAGGGTTTCATATAGTTGAGTTTGATATAATTCAACTCCATTCAGTTTGTTTATATAGAGCCAATTCACAACACATGTGATCTCAAGGGGCATTACAGAGACAATACAGTCAGACTGGTTAAATGTTTCTGTCTGTTGATTGCAACGAGTCACTGACTTGAAAGAGATCCTCCTCCTGGATGAGCTGGCGGCTGTGATTTTCGCTTGAATATAGAGAAATTGTTCCAGTTCATTCTATCAAAGGTGAAGTTTAGATCACAATTATTTGTTGTCCTGTTTATCATAAATCTTTACCTTTAAGTCATTTAGATTTGCTTTGTCTTGGAAGCTGGCTGATGGACTAATTAGCCTATAAGTCAGGGGTCTTCATTGTTTTCCAGGCTAAAGACCCCAAACTGATAGCGAGATGGAATGGGGACCCTCTAATTATATATATTGTATGAAATTGTGTTATATCATACTGGTCCTATAGTCACTCTATTACCAGTGGAGTAACATAGCGAAAGTAATTTCACCCAGGGATTATTAAAGTATTTCTGATTCTAATTCCTCGTTGATGGGACAGGTTATGTGAATTAATGCCCAATGAACGCCCAGCTTGAAAGAGCCTGACTTGACTGGAACATGATTCTGGTGACTCCCTCCCGCTACGAGTGTGTCTTAGGGTCCTGTTCACAGGTGAGGGCAGTTAGTGTTAAAAAACAAAGCAATGAATAAGTCACTAGCCTTAAAGCTACAGTGTGTAATTTTCAGCAACATCTAACGTCCAGACTGCAGACCGCAGCAACATGAACATCTCC